TTCTTACTTTTCCTGGAGGTTTCATTCACAATCCCTCTCCAGGCCTATCTCATCACTGTACTAGTCAGGCCTCATATTTGCAAAGCTAAGAATCAATTCTGCCTAATGTAAACTGAAAATAGTTTACTAAGGGACACTGTTGCCAATGCAGTGTGAGCTCTGCAGTTTGGAACCATACCCAGACACACTGGGGCTGCTCTGGTGAAAATATTGTAATCACTGCTGCTTGTACTCATGATGTTTGGGGCTGGATGGCAGGACTCCACCACTGCCCTTGAAGAGCCAGATGTTTTCATCACTGTGTTCTCCAGAATGATCAATTCCTTTGCATTAGATTGTCTTCTTCAGAATCTAGCAATTCCTTTGCCTTAAATTGTCTTCTTCAGAATCTAGGTCTCATGGGGGTCCATTTCATTGGAAGCCTCTAGGTTACAGTCTTGGGCTCTAGCTGCAGAGGAATCTGGGAATATGCTTTCTGGATTTTACCCAAGAAAGATGGGGATCACAATACAGAATATTACCAAAATATAGGAAAAGTGTTCAAAGATGTTGTTGTTGTTATGTGCCTTTGAGTCGGCCCCAACTCATAGTGACCCCTCCGTGGGTTTCTGAGGTGGTATCACTATGGAAGTAGATTGCCCAATCTTCCTTCCGAGGAGTGACTGGTGGTTCAAAGATGTTGGGTAGCCACAAATGACAAGTGTCCACTACTATCTCTACTCTCTGAACCCAACCATGCTTATTTTCAATGATGAGCCTTGGCTCATGGCCATCTGGGCTGGATTGCATTTCCCTCTACCTGTCCACATCCTGCTTTCCTTAAAAGGTTCAGCTCATGTCTCTTCATGAAGCCTGTCTATATGATTCCACCTTTTCATTGTTTTTTTATCCTTCGTACTCTTACAACACCTATAATAACTAAGTACTGCTTAGTTATTATATATATTATATTTTATATTATATTATATAAGTATATATAATAACTAAGTAGCACTTAGTTATTATAACTAAGTAGCACTTAGTTATTATATATTACATTGTATTAACATATATTATATTTTGGAAGAAAGGCCTGGTCATCTACTTTAAAAAAAAACAGCCATTGTCACAACATGAAAAATGTCATCAATGTCCCTGAGTTGTAAATGTAGAAGTTGTTATGTTGGTGACTATCTTGTTGCATATGTTTTCATCACAACAGAAGTTTAAAAAAAAATATCAGCCATTGGCAACCCTGTGGAGCACAGTTTTACTCTAACACACTTGGGTCACCATGAGTCAGCATCAACTTGACAGCAATTGGTACTGGTATATATTATACCATCTCATACCATATTAAGTCATATCATATTATAGATAAATATGTATTGTTGTTGTTGTTGTTATGTGCCATCAAGTCGGACCCGACTCATAGCGACCCCTCCTTGGGTTCCAAGGCAGTAACACTGCAGAAGTAGATTGCTCCATCTTCCTTCCGAGGAGTGGCTGGTGGGTTTGAACCGCCAGCCTTCTGGTTAGCAGTCAAGTGCTTTAGGCACTACACTACCAGAGCTCCCTATAAATATATATAGTAACTAAATAACATTTAGTTTTACATGGTCCTGTATTATTTGTCTTGACTAGATTGCAAGCTCCTCGAAAATAACTCTGCTTTTCTTAACTATTCAGCAACTGATAGAGTCAGTGCTCAGTAAACACTCCTATTGTGTGTTCACTGATTTCTCTTGGTTGGGCTGGAAGCTGAGGCCAGCTCCTCTTCACCCCAGTTGTAGAGTTGCTATTATTTTTGTAGCTTTAACCCCAAGCTGTGCTTACATTCTCCATGGAGCTTCACTGGATTATTTGCAAACATCATCATTTTATTGGATGGATTCACTGATTTGCAAATAAAAAAATGTTCAAAATAATTGTGAACATTGGCTGGACATTTACAATATGCTGGGTACTTTATAGGTATGACAAAGACTCTATGAGAGAGGTACCATTAACAATCAACATTATGCATAAGGAAATTGAGGCACGAAGAGGTTATATTACTTGATCATGGATATGCAATGACAAAGCTAAGATTCAAAAACTAGGTCTGCCTGTCTCCAAGGTCCATCCTCCTACATATTAAAAGAAAAATATGAGAGTGAAAGCTGGAGAATAAAAAATAAGACTGAATAAGGTTTAATGCTTTTGAGTTGTGGTATTGGTGAAAAACACTGAAAAGTACCATGGACTGCCAGAAGAACTAACAAATATGTCCTGAAAGAAGTACAGCCAGAAAGCTCCTTGGAAGTGAGAATGGTGAGACTTCATCTCACCTACTTTGGTTATGTTGTCAGAAGGAACCATTCCCTGGAGAAGGATATCATGCTTGGTAAAGTGGAAGGTCAATGAAAAAGGGGAAGGCCCTTGAAAAGATGGATTGACACAGTGGCTGCAACTATTTGCCAGGATAGAGGAAGGATTGTGGGGCTGGCACAGGGCTGAGCAGTGTTTCAGACTGTTGTACATAGGGTAGCTATGAGTCAGAGATAACTCGACAGCACCCAACACCACCACCACCAACAACAATTTTTGTACTACTTATCTTGTTGAGGCATTTGTTTGTTTATATAATTCATCTGGGGAGTCTCCACAGATTCTGGAGTAAGGTTGGCTGTAATCTTTACAGAAGCTGCTCTCCAGGCATGGACTTTCTGCAGTGGCATTGGGTGTGTTTGAACAGGAACCTTGAGATCACTAGCTGAGGTCAGACTATGCCACCCAAGGACCTTGTGTTACTTGTCTTGAAATACAGAAAATTCATTCATTCAGCTATGTTCCTATGAGATCCAGAGGATAGGGGTGATTGACCATCTTTGATGGTTAATGAGGCTGCAACACAGAGAATTTAAGCAGTGTTGGTCATGATTAGTCATGAGGAGGGTCTGGTCCAGCCCTAGTTTGGTTAACTCCCCAAGCTCTGGCTTTTCTGAGGGACCAAAGAGAAGGCAGATATCTGTGTGTGACTACCCCTGGGCCTGGGCTAATTTCACATTCCACTTAGGCTTGGATAGCAGTGGTAGAAGATTAGGGATAGAAGTTAGAAATGCTAGAAAGAAGATCCCAATACTGGGCAGGGGGCAGATTGTGTGACTTCAAATGGCTAGTCAACTTCCAACATTTTTCCATTGAAAAATGCATGTACATTTTCCTAAATTTGAAGCCCAAATTTGAGAAGCCTAGATTCTTCCTATAAAGATGATCTCAATTAGTTTGATCTACCTCATGTAGTGGGATTTGAAATAGTTTTCCATTTTTTCTGGATGTAATCCAGCAAAAGGGCTTAATTGATGGATTGATTGAACCAACCAACAAATCATCCTTTGTGAGCACCTATTTGTTACTGCCAAAGCACTGTCCCAAGAACCAAGAGATGAAATATGTTAACCAGACAAGACTATAAGCTCCAAGAGAGTTTATAGTTTAATCCTGGGAGAGGGAGGAGATGTTGCATAGCTTGGGGGTGATATATGGGGGAGAGAAAAAATGAAAAAGCCAGGTCACTGAAGAAGATTTCACTTTGTTAGCACTTGAGCCCCTCACCAGCCCTGCCTAATGAACTTGAAGAAACACTTCTCCTTTCTTCCTTTCCCCTGATTCTGAGGAGTCTCCTTTCATGGCCACATAGGCTGCAGTCTTGGCAGAGTTTAACATGCAGCAGACAGAATGAAAAAAGACTTGTCCTGTAGATAAACAACTAACAAGGCAGCCTCCAAAGCTGTTCAGGAAAGCTTTCTTCTTGGATAAAGCTAGCCCAGTCCCTTAGTCTCTGAAAAATGCCAGGCAGGCTGACTCTCATGCTTTTGGAAACGGATGTGTTCAGCAGTCTGCTGGCTCTGCCAGCTCTGGTCTCCTGGTGTGGAGGCATCTGGAGACCTGAGGCCACAGACTTCCTGGAGCACACCCACTCCATCAAAGACTGGGTCTCCGTCCCTAGGGTCTCTATGTGTCCTATTTATGATTGAATCTCTGCTGCCTCACACACTGGTATCTGTTAAAATGTGTTAGGTCATTTGTACATATTTATTGAATCTGTTGTTGAATTGATGTTTGAGTTTCCTGTTCCCTGGGACTTGGATGAAAAGCCAATGTGTGGGGAGCAAAAACAGAAGACTTAGAGAAGCTGCAAGGTGTGTCACTGCATCGTTTCTCTGCTTTTTCAGAACAAGCACACATTAAGCAAGTTGAATTGTGCTAATATCTTATCAAAGTGAATGGGTGCTAACATCCCTTTAGATAGAGGTAGAACCCAGCAGGCAGATTTATGATAGCTCTGGGGTTTCTGGGGTAGGAGAAGTCATCACTTTGTCCCCAAGCCAAATACAGAGCCTAGCACATAGTGAGTACTCCACAGCCATGTGCTGACTGTGGAATGAATTGTATCAGCCCTTTTCCTTCTTACTTGTGGCATTCATTGAGATTGCCTGTGAGTCTTTGGGGAGCTTTACTGTCTCTGCCACCCAGACAGTCAGAACGTTTGCCATACCACCTTCCAGCTCTGGCAGGGCCCTGGGGCAGTTAACAGGCAGACAGATGGTGGCTGAGCACCTGACACGGATGAGCGAGCCGTGAGCCTCCTGGGTCCTGTCAGACAAAGCTAAGAGATGGCCATGCCCAAGCATGGGGCAACGCCAGGCACCACCCCCTGACAGGGAAGGCTGCCACCTTAGCACTTTTACCATTTCAGATTATTTTCAAGGTGTGTTTGGTAGCCTGGAATAAACTATTGCCTTGAAGGCAAACCCAACCCATGAATATTTAGGATTAATTATCTCTCCTTCACTTGAGTCCAACAGCCTCCTCAGATGTATATAAAGGGATTTGTTCTGCAGAGATCTTTAGTTCCTTTCACTCTTCCTCTGACTTCTGTGTCCTACTTAATTCTCACACTTTTCTCTTCACCAAGCTCTCTCACCATGAACAGACAAGTCTGCAAGACATCTGGTGGTGGGAACCAGGGCTTCTCTGGTCGCTCTGCTGTGGTTTCTGGTAGCAGCAGGATGAGCTGTGTGGCCCGCTCTGGGGGAGCCAGCGGAGGGGCCTGTGGGTTCCAGAGTGGAGCAGGCGGCTTTGGCAGCCGCAGCCTCTACAACCTGGGTGGCAATAAGAGCATCTCCATCAGTGTGGCAGCTGGTGGTTCGCGGGCTGGTGGCTTTGGTGGACGTAGCATCTGTGGGGGTGGCTATGGAAGTGGCTTTGGGGGTGGCTATGGAGGTGGCTTTGGTGGTGGTTTTGGTGGTGGCAGAGGAGTAGGAGGTGGCTTTGGAGGAGCTGGTGGTTTTGGAGGAGCTGGTGGCTTTGGAGGAGCTGGTGGTTTTGGAGGAGCTGGTGGTTTTGGAGGAGCTGGTGGTTTTGGTGGCCCTGGTGGCTTTGGTGGTCCTGGTGGCTTTCCTGGAGGAATCCAAGAAGTGACTGTCAACCAGAGCCTCCTGAAGCCCCTCAATGTGGAAATCGATCCCCAGATTGGGCAAGTAAAGGCCCAGGAGCGGGAGCAGATCAAGACCCTCAACAACAAGTTTGCTTCCTTCATTGACAAGGTAATGAAGGTTCTGACTGCACTCCTATTTCTAGGCTGTGACTTTGAGTTTGACATTTTGACATGGTATTTAAGATCAGTCCTACAGGGGCAAAGTTAGAGGGGGAGTGGTTATGTAGAACTTTAGGGTTGGGGAAGATATTCAGGGTTGATGAAATTGTCCACATGTACAAGTGAGTGGGAGAGTTAGGGGTGGAAAGATAGTGGCCCCCTCTTTGGATATGAGCATCCTCGAGTCCTGGGTGTCAGAATGTCTGCTTGGGTCTCCCATCCATTGGTTTACCCAGGTCTGGGCTGGCAGAGCTCACATCCCTGAGCTGAGCTGAGGCCAGGGACACAAGGGCCATAGCCACTGGGTCAAACATGAACTTTTCAAACATGAGCTACTCCCTACAGTTTTCCAGGTGGTCCTTTCCTCTACATGTTTCTGTGTCAGGCAAAAGAAGCCAAAGTCTCAAGAGGGGATTAAAGAGGCTTAAGTAGAACTTTAGTTCCAAGGGTTTGTAGAGAAGTCGGCAACTCACTTTGTACTGTTTACTAACCTCCTCAGGAGATGAGTGTTTTGTGCAAGGACAAGTCATTGCACTGTGTCCTCTGAAGCTCAAGAGAATGTTGTCATGCTGATTATGGCATTTCGATCAGTATCAGTTGCTAGTGATTCCCATCCTTTGAAGGGCTGGAGTTGCAGTGGAGTCTTAGATGGGAATGCCACTGCTGAAGTTTATGCACCTTTTTGCAGAATGCACTAAACTATTGGCAGTCTGAAAGAAGACTGAAGGGTTATTTTTATAATTCTCCCCCTTCCAGGCAGAGGCTGCTTCCAGTTACCCTGCCCATCTTTCTTCCCTTTGCAACTTTCCAAACCATGCTGCATCCTTAGTGCTTTAAGTGATGCAAGTGTCTGATCAGTCTGATCATAATCTCTCTAGCTACAGTAGGAGCCCATCTCCACATCCTTCTGAATATGCCTTTGTGCTGGAGGACAAGGAGCTACAGACACCCAGTTCTATCTGAGCTAAAACCCTTTTCCTCCTCTATTACAAGCAGTGTCTGATGTTGCTTCTCCCAATGCATTGTAGGTGCGGTTCCTGGAGCAACAGAACAAGGTCCTGGAGACCAAGTGGAACCTCCTTCAGCAGCAGGGCACAAATTCCATCACTGGTACCAACAACCTTGAGCCCCTTTTTGAGAGCTACATCAACTCCCTGAAGAGCTACCTGGACAACATCCTTGGGGAGAGAGGCCGCTTAGACTCAGAGCTAAGGAACATGCAGGACCTGGTGGAGGACTTCAAAAGGAAGTGAGTGCTGGGACAGGAGTGGGAAGATGTCATGGAACACCTAGTCTCAGAGTCCTGGTTTTCACTGCCTTCCTGCTAACCTCTGGGCAGTGATATTGCCTAGCCCATTTTCCTCTCCTTGTCTTCATGGAGGATAGCTTGGTTAATTAAGTTTCTTCTTGCCTCCCTTCTCCAAGAATAATCCTTTATAAATAAAATTGTAGTAAGAGATATGAGTTTAGAGTTGTGGAGGCACTTCCTCATGACCCAGATTGGGATGAGGGGAGGGAAATCCTGGTTCTAGGATTTGAGGCTTCTGGGACAACATATGGCAGGGTGACCAGCTGTCCTGAGACTAAGGAACTTCCCATGGCACAAGACTTTCAGTGCTCAAACAAGGACTATTTGCCTGAGAAACTGGATGGTTGATCACTCTAACTAATAGGGAGATAGTTAAGAGAATGTATTCATCTATAGAGGGATGGAAGAGATGAAAGTCCAGGGTTTCAAAGAACAGTGATATTTATGGTCACCTAAAAATCCAAACTCAGCTATTTCTTTTTACTCTCATAGATATGAGGAGGAAATCAATAAACGTACAGCTGCTGAGAATGACTTTGTAACCCTGAAGAAGGTAATGGTTGTGTGTGAGGTTTCTGGGGTTTGTAGTCATAGGCTTTCAGCTGGGTTGGGGAATCTCCTCTTACTCCACTGCCACAGAGCTGCCAACTTCAGGCAGTAGGAGGAACAAACACAAACCAAGTGCTTCTAGTCTGGAAAGATTCTTAAAAGAGTCAGTTCATTCATCTTTGGGTTTTGAGTAGGACTGAACTTAAATCATCCCAATCAGATGAGAATGACTCACGTGGAGTCCAGTTTTGCATAGTCTTCCCTGACTCTTGCTGCACTAGTTTGTTGTTCAGTCACCAGTGGAATAAGATCTCTATGCTTCTGTCTTTCTCTTAGGATGTGGACACTGCTTACATGAGCAAAGTGGAGCTTCAGGCCAAGGTGGATGCCCTGACAGATGAGATCAACTTCCTGAGGACCCTTTATGATGCGGTGAGGATGTTTCCTACTTTGGCACTAACAGGGAGAGGGGCAGAGGGTGAGGTGCTTTCAGATTTGAGGCTGGGGTATTTTGGTACCTAGGGACTCAGAACACTACCTAGGATGAGCCTAGAGACAAGGGCCTCTGATGGGGATCCCACAGAATGGGCTACAGATATGGAGTTCTCTGAGTGATTGGGGGGCAGGTGGGGCAGATGGCACATTCAAAGCTAAGAATAAGTAAATGAGATTGTTGGTCAGGGATCTCTCAGGCCTCCGTGTGCTTGTTGCAGAGGCCCTGAGAATGAACAGACCCTGTCTGTGTTGGCAGGAGCTGTCCCAGATGCAGAGCCATGTCAGTGACACATCTGTGGTGCTGTCCATGGACAACAACCGCTTTCTGGACCTGGATAGTATCATTGCTGAGGTTAAGGCCCAGTATGAGGACATCGCTCAAAGGAGCAAAGCTGAGGCTGAGGCCTTGTACCAGACCAAGGTATGTGCTAGGTACTTCTTAGAGGATCCATTTAGGGCCTCAGGAAGGCTTTGGCCTGTGGGACTGCTGGGTGGTGAGGTAAGTGGTCAGTGGGTGGGCCCCTCTTGATTTTATACTTTGGAGATATCCTTCTAACAATTGTCAAGTTACAAAATGTCTGACACCCCTGAGTGGAGGTGGTTCTCTTGTCCAATGCCAAGCCACATGGGATTGAGTCTAGCCAGGCTAAACCATGGTACCAAGTTTGCTCAGGGACTACTAGATAGGAGAATCTTCCCACATCAACCTGTGTATTCCCTTCCCTGCTGCCTTAGAGGTGTCCATGCTGAAACACAATTCAAGGTCATTTTAACACATGTTTATCAAGCACCTCAAGGTTTGGTGGGTGATGCTGGGAATATAAAAAAAAATCAGTAAATTTGCATTAAAACTTTATCTGCTCTTCTTCTCTCTAGTTGGGAGAGTTGCAGACCACAGCTGGCAGACATGGTGATGACCTAAAGAACACCAAAAGTGAGATCATGGAGCTCAACAGGATGATCCAGAGGCTGCGAGCAGAGATTGAGAACATCAAGAAGCAGGTGTGATGGTGATAGGTGCTGGTGCCTGGGAGGATTGGTGAGGAATAAGATCTTAGGTATCCTAGCCTAAAATGGACTCCCAGAGGTCATCTCAGAGAGCATCTGCCTTCAGGGTATTCAAGGATCATACTAGTCTAAAAAAATATCTCTATGGTTGGACACTAGATGGAGGAGCTAAAGGATGGGTGATATTGCCTGACTTTAAGAAGCTTGCGATGGAACAGTCCATTCTAAGATTCAGAGGCCCTGGGATGCTTTAATGGCTCATCTCTTTCCCTACCTCTCCTTCCTTAGAATGCTAACCTCCAGTCAGCCATTGCGGAAGCTGAGCAGCGTGGGGAGATGGCTCTCAAGGATGCCAATGCCAAGCTCCAAGACCTGCAGGCTGCCCTGCAGCAGGCTAAGGATGATCTAGCCCGGCTGCTGCGTGACTACCAGGAGCTCATGAATGTCAAGCTGGCCCTGGATGTGGAGATTGCCACCTACCGCAAGCTGCTGGAGGGCGAGGAATGCAGGTGGGCTTCCAATCCCATTTCCATATATGCTCTGGCCCAAGGTCAATACTGAGGGCCAGATAAATGACCAAGTAAATGGGGATAGAGAACTGAACATAGGAGGCCCTTACCTTCTATAGGGCTTGGAGAGAAGCAGGTGCCTTTACCAGCCCATTCCCCTCACAGGTGGCCAAAGTGCATCTGTGACCAGTGTTCACAAGTTCTCAATGTTATTGTTATAGCAGAGTGGAGAAAGAGTACTGACCCGTCAGGCTTTTGAATTCAGTTCTGGTTGCTATTCATCACCTTGAGCCATGAACTTTGTGATGGAGTACCATCTTTTCTTGTTTTCTCAAACAGGATGTCTGGAGAGTGTGAGAGTGCTGTGAGCATCTGTAAGTAGCCAAAGTTACCACAACAGTGGGAGTCTATCCTCAGATATCTGTGCTAATACAGGGCAGTAATAACTAATTAAAACAATTAGTTCTAAGGAAGTAGGAGGGCTTCCTGGAGGTGGATGAGGGGGATAACAAATTGGCTTTTGTAATTGTTCTGGGTTCAGGGCACTATGAATAGATCTAGACAGTGAATGCAGAATATCCAGTAGGGAGCCTGTTAATGGGAAGAGACATTCAGGCTGATCTCCAAGAGGGTGGTCAGAAGTTGATTATATGTAGAAGTAGCCACTGCATAATTCATAACGACTTAACCCAGGGAATGAATAATATATGACATGATCATTGGTACAAAGCTGCCTTGATCCTCTCCCAATTATCTTGGCACATGGGTCATTAATTGATTATAATTAATTATAATTGATTATAATACACATGGACACTGGAGCCCTGACAGATGTACTGTCCTCTCCCTCCTACAGCTGTGGTCAGCAACAGCAGTACGACTTCAGTCTCAGCTGGTGGTTATGGAGGCGGCTACGGAGGTGGCTTTGGCGTAGGAGGAGGCTCCGGCAGCTGCTTTGGCAGAGGAGGAGGCAGTGGATTCGGGGGCTGTAGTGGTTTTGGCGGGGGCAGCGGCTTTGGCTCTGGCTCTGGCTCTGGAGGTCGCTGTGGGGTCAGTGGCGGAGGCTTCAGCTCTAGCAGCAACCGGGGCGGCAGCAGCATCAAGTTCTCGCCCTCCCAGCGCAGCGGCAGATAAATAGCACCCCTTACATCTAGCCACCCTAAGCCTCCCCTCTTGGTCCACGTGTCCCTTCCCTACATCAGCCACACCCCAGAGCCTTCCACGCTCCCCTCCTCCCCTACAGGAGCGGCTCTGTGGGGTCAGAAGACTGGGGGCTTTTTACTCCTCCATCCAGACCCTGGCCATGCCCAGTCAAGGGAATTTCAGATTCTTTTCTCTCTGACTCCTGCCTTTGCCAGTGATTGTCCTGGGCTGGTGGTGGTGGTGGTGGGGGGGGGGTAGGGAGTGTCAGCTGGCTTCTGCTACCTTTGAGGTCCTCATCTCCCTGGATGGGATAGTCACCGGAATTCTGATGTATCTGATGTATATAACATGCAGTCCCCTCTGCCCATCTGTTCTGTCGCCAATAAAATGCATTGTATTTCACAGCAGGCCTCTGTGTTTTCTTGCCCCATTTTTCTCCCTACTGGACTGACTCCTCTGTCTTCTCCCCAGTTTTCCTTTCACGTCTCTCACATGGGTTGTGTGGTCCACAGATTGCTGGAGTATGTTTCTCTGAAACCAAGGCAGTTAGTCCTCATTGTCTATTGTCTAAATGGGCAAGGTCTTGTCCTTCCATTCTTCAAGGCTTGGGGATTGGGGCATACTCAGGAAGTTGAGTGGCCTCTCAGCTCTCAGGGGGGAAGGTTGGACTACATAGGCAACTATCTCCTCCCCATTTTCCTCATCTGGGGAGACCTAAGAGAACCTTGGATTGCTTAGGGTCGTGGGGACAGAAGGATTCTTTACCTGGTGGCTGTTCCTACTCTAGCTGACATCTTGAAAACTTCCCCAACAGGGTACACCTGGGAAAGTTGTGAGCTGCTAGAAACCAGGGAATGGAGGAATTTCCTGAGAGTCATTTCCAAGGCTGATCCATAGACTACTAATTCATCAAGAAAGAGTTCACACCCACCAAATCTTCCCTTCTTCAAGCTCATATAGAGGTTCTGAGAAGTCCCGTAGCAAAGGAAACCTGTTTGCTATATTTATCCCGCAATTCCCACAAAGGTCTCCTCCAAGTAAACAGCTAATGCCCCTCAGAAAACTTTCTGCACCTGAACATTATCTGAGTGAGCTCTGGGCCTCCAGCTTTGTGTATCAGCCATGGAAGAGCCTGATGTCCTGGCCCCAGGAAGCCCTGCTGATATTAACTGGCCATGGAGTGCTGTCCAAGAGCTGGAGCAGACTCAAGGAGTCGAGGAAGACTAAGGCTCAGAGACATGGAGTGTTTTGCTTGAGATTAGATGGTGTGTTAAGGCCTGAACTAGGAATGGACCTAATATTCTGAATCCAGAGCTCATTCCGTTCCCCTCTTAGGCATGCCACCCCCCCCCCCCCCCCGTCTGGGCACCCGAGACCACCACACAGGCTTTGGAATAGAAACACTTAGCCAGGCTACATCAGGTCAGGTCATGGAAGCAGTATTTATATCATAGGCCAAAGCCAAATTTATTTCAGGGATGTGTAAGAACAGTTAAACAAACAAAACAGCAACTGAAGATCCAAGAGATTCAGTAGGAAAATCTCATGTCCATACTTGGCAGAGCAATCAAGCTGCCAGTTCCTCTGTGATCACCTAGGAAGGCTGTTTGAATGAGGTCATAGTTAATAACTGTTGTCTTATTTTTGAGCAGGAAAGTATCTTTTCTCTGTGGAGAAAGAGTAGGGGTGATGATAGGCAGGGAGACTCAGTTCCTGACTTGGCTCAGAAATTAGCCCTATGGGAATGAGCCTGCTGATTTTGGGGCAGCTGTTTCACTCTGGATGAAAGCCCCAATAAATTATCTCCTTCCTTCATTCAACCAAAAGTCATTATGTGTTTGCTTTATGTCAGGCTGGCTAAATGTTGGAGATGCACTGGGTGGGGGGTGGTAAGGGAGGAGGAATGTTCAACCATGAGGCACGGTTTCCAGATGTGAGCAACTGGGTGGCTGGTAGTGCCACTTCCCACCTTTGGAAGGACAGAGGAGGGTGGGATGGGTCTGAGGAGGAACCTCAGGAGCTCTGCTTTCAAAAATCTGCTCTGTGCAGGAGACAGCTGACCGGCAATGTCAAGACTGCAGTTGGAGATGTGAATATGGATTCAGAAGGGAGGCCTATCAGTGTTGGAGGTTCACATTTGGACAACAGCATAAGGATGGTTAGGTTTTTTTTTTTTTTTTAATGCCATGGAAAATGATATCTTCAAGAGAGAGAGAAGAGAAGAGGGCCTAGGTTGAGCCTAAAGGAAGCCCATCATCTAGAGTCAGGGAGAGGAGGACAGCCAGACAATAGAGCCAAGTCCAAACTTCCCAAAATGCCTCCTTCTGAGAAGTCAAGTGGTTTCTAAATTAGCTCTATGGGAAGCTAGAGCAGACCAAGCCTTCCAAAGGATGCTGGTCTCAAGTCTCACATTCAGAAGTGGCCCATTTTCCTTTGCTGTTCCTATTTCATAGGACTTTACAACCTATGCCCACTGACCCTTGTTCTTCCTATGGGGGTTTATGGAATTCATAAGCCTTCTTAAAGGAGAGAGTAGCCAGAGAAGGCAGGTTCATGAGGGATGGGGGCATGGAGAAGGCTATTTCTTAGCGGTTTCATTGTCCCAGATGGATGGCCATGGCAGGTTACTTTGGTACCAGGACCTGAGACTGAAACTGTTACCTACACACTTGACTGTATAATCTTCTCAGCACAGCCCTGATCATTTCTAATTCAGGTTGAAAACACCTTCCAGGGAACTTTATCTGATTTTCAGTGCTCTTTCTCTTTCTTTTGCCACCATTTACACTTTGTGTGTGTATGTGTGTGTGTAATTCTACATTGATTTTTCAAGTGCTCTTGTCACTGGGGTTGGATTTACGTTCTTGTACTTGACTAGAATTTCGTTCTTTGAGTGGGGAACAGATTGGTGTTGAGTTGTCAGTTCTTTGCCTATCCTCTAAGGTAGGTCATTTGCTGATAATTATTATTAATAACATCCAGGGAGGGAAAGGGAAAGGAAGTTTCACAGAAGTTGAATAATCTCACCTTGATTCATATGCTTGGCATTTGGAGGTCAAATATTTCTTTTGTTCCATCTCCTAAGTTCCACATCTTTTGCTCTTTCTGTTCTAAGAGTTTGTTGACTCTCTGATTTACACTTTCTTTACAATTAAGGAGACCAAGATGTGTTTTGGATTTTAGGTTATTTCCTTCTATCTCCTTCTGGTATACAGGCATTCCAGTTGGCGTTGGATCAACTTTCACTCAACTGTGCTCCATAGGGCTTTCAATCATTGTTTTGTTTGGAAGTGGTTTTACCAGGCCCTTCTTCCAAGATGCCTGAGTGATTCAAAGCTCCAATATTTCAGTCAGTAGCCACGTGCTTTAATCGTTTGCATTACCCAGGACTCCAGGATATAAGCACAGACCAGAGCAAATATTAACAGTAATGGTGACACCACATTCACAAAAGGCTCAGTTAAGGAAAACAGGGGAACGTTTCCCATAAGAATCTGAAAGTAAGTCAGCATCTGCTTTCGAATAGTCCAGACTTGACTGCTGATGGTCAAGGTTTACATGTAAAGTTTTATGTATTGTGTAGGTTAAATCTCTATATGACTGTTCTCTGTGGTGCCTAGAGCTGGGTGTTAGCCAATCATCTGAAGTGTCAGCTTTGGGATTTTGGCCATACCTTCTCTCTGTCCTCTCAGCACTTTGGCCCAGGGTCACTCTCTCTCTACTGAGAAAGACCAGAATGGACATTTTATAATACATTTGGGATGCCTGAGAAAAACTCACTTAAGTTCTGAAAACAACGGGTCACCTATTTTATCTGTATCCCTCATAAGCCCCTCTTGCCTAAAAACTGCACATGTCACATCTCTGTTTTGCCTAAGACCAAGCTAATCAGAACTTCTAGGCCACGGTTAGTTCTCCTTGGGACCCAGTGGTACAGAGGGTAATGAGAGCAAGCTAGGACCTTTGGTATCCACATGTCATGACCAAAAGGTCACAGCTCTATCAACCCTTGGAGAAGATGGGGGACAGGAAAAGATGGCACAAAGCTGTGGTTCTTAGTGGGGGCAATTGTCTGGAGGCATTTTTGGTTATCACAACTGGGGGAGTGCTAGTGACATGTAGTGGGTAGAGGCCAGGGATGGTACTCAACATTTATAATGCACTATTGAGAAATGGTGAACCAAAGCAACAGGTCATCTTATCCACCCCTCTGCTTAGGCAAGGACCTTCAGCTAGAGCGCTAATATTACACCTGAGCTAAGTGTAGATCCTTCTGAATATAACTTTTTTTTAAAAGAAGTTTTTGTTTGTTGTAAAATAGAAATACAGTTTTACTCTGAGCAAAGCCATAGAAAACCACCCATGCTAGCAGTGTGGCCTTATTGGGTACTTACCAGATCATGCTAGTGACCCATGAGGGGCTTGTAGTCCTGGGATAAACCAGGCTGCTTTATGCTTCTGTGCCTTTGATGATCCGCACGCTTTGCCAGAATTGCCCATTCCATCTTCAAGCACCTGCCTAGCCCCTATTCATCCTTAGGCACCACCTCCTGAGCACTTTCCTTGGACCCCCATTTGGCACTGAATATCTGTCTTCTGTATTCCCATGTGACTTTGTTTTTTCTTTCCGTCTCTTGCCATATTATACCAAAATGACTAGTTTCAGTGTCTGTCCTGTTCTCCCCACTAGAATAGAAGCCATTGAGAGGGATGGATGTGCCGTATTCATTGTTGTGCCCCAATGCCCAGCACAGTGCCTGGCCCACAGTAGGCATTGTGAACTTCACTGAGCTAATAAAATGCTTGCAAAGGGTAAATTATTAGATGTAATTGCTGTCATGGCATTGTTAAAAACAACACAGTTAAACAACTTTTGATTGGCACTTACTGGTATAAGTCATATACTGGGCATTTTGCGTATGTCATCTCATTTAATCCTCACAACCCTCATAGGAGGCAGGTAGTAATTATCCTCATTTTCCAGATGAGGA